ACAGTCTCGCAAGTACCCACGCTATTTTTCTCCTCTCATTCTGTCTCCTGCACGTCTTCAAAAACACAAAAACCCAAAAACACACACATGAGCGCAGAGCCAAGAATTTGCTTGTTAGAAGTTTGTTACTAGAGCTGAGCCTTGTAATTGACTAACCTCTGCTCCGCCGCTCTCCTCTGCTTTGCTCATTTTCGTCAATTCGGTCCAAAACTCTCAAAGAAATGTGAACTTTGCCTGAACTCCCTTCTCAGAGAGACACTGAGAGCGAGGGTGTGACAAACATAACTTATGTTGGTTAATAAACTGCACATGCACAGTGTGCAGTCAGAGTGTTATTACCGCATGTGCTGAGGTAAAGAGTGAGGTACAGAAAAGCCAAGAGGCAGAGAGATGATGAGGGATTTAGCAAAATAGCCACGAGCTATCTTTAAATTACTGAATGTTGTAATTATACCTGAGCTTCTATCATCAATCAGATCAGGCTAAACTACCTTTTATTTTATTTGTGTCACGTGTGTGACTTTTGACTCAGTGAAGGTAACCAGGACACCCACTCTGCGATGTCTGCAGCGGTGAAGTTCATCTTCAAAAGGTCACTGCAGTAAAAAACAACACCGGGGGAGCTCAAACTAAGGAAAGTCCATCACTGCACCGCGTGATAGGCTCTGAGGTAAAGACACAACGCTTCAACCTTTGACTTTACAAGTGTCAGAGACGTAATCAGACCAAAGTTACCGAGGTTTTCAACCAAGCATGAGGGGAGCGGTGCAGACGAACTTTGCAGATAAACGAAAAGAAATTTTTATCCACATAAAAACAGCAACTTCAACACTTTTTTTCATTGCTTGCTTTCTTGCCCAGAGTTAAGTGAGAGTATTGCCGCCGCTCCCACCTGATACAGTTTCAGAGCTCACCTTTATCCATGAAAAACTCTCACCAGCACCACTACTGCTTTGATTAATCAGCAGAAAACCTGCCCGTGTGATTATCAGGCAAGTGCATATCAGCAGTTTGCTGCTTTTAGCACATTTTGTGTCATTTAAATGCACTTCAATGTTTTGCATCATTTTGCAAAATCCAGTTATAAGGAGTGAAATGTTGCCATAAAAAGCAAAACAACTAAAGTAAATCAGCATTTTGTGCAACTTGGACCTGTTTGAGATCTGAGCAGATTCTTCTGGTATAAGTTTGGTCTCTAAAAGAATATAGCATACAGAATATTTGTTAATATGAATAATAATAATATGAAGAGGTTTTTCAGTAGTTAAATGCATATAAAACCCAGATCATTTCCTTCCTGCTAATCATATTTAAACTGCACTTTCAACCTCTGAAGTCAGTTATGTTATAATGACGAGTGTTGTTGACACGTCTGTGCGTGATTTTAGCTTAATTATGATCTAAATTAAACCCTAATGAGACAAATCATCAGCATATCTAGCAATCATCATTTTAAATGTAAATCTGCCATCTAAACCTTTGTGTCCATCACACACGTTTCAGAATATGGAAAACAGTTTGGGACGTCTTACTTCACAACTGGGGTAAATTTAAAAATGTAACATTTATTACAGATAAAAATCAGAGAAGACCTGACCTCTGGAAGGGAAATACTTTCTGTTGAGCCTGCAATGACAGGCACACATCAAATTGAGTTTTGAACTGTGTGAAGCAACACATCAAGCTAAAATACGCAAACTGGAGTACAAAGGGAAAAATGTCAATCTCATGTTTCTGTATATTTCAATATAGTGCTAAATGAATGCTTTTGATTGGACAAGACCATAAACTACATATTCATACGTGCTATATGACGTTATGTGTTTACACGGCACTCGCTGCTGGGAAAACTTAGCTCAGTCGTTTCTCTCCCTGCAGGACAATAAAGATTCAACAGCACCAGACACTGCAGCTCAACAAGAACACAGGCGCTATTGGGAAAACTCTGTGTTTTAGTTTATTATTGAATTAAACCTTCAGTGGTTTTGTATTTCATGTCGCCTAGCAAGTTAGGGTGAACAGTGCAAGATAAAAATAATAAGGGTAACGGGAAAATCGTGTTAAAACAAAAGCCTTGAGAAACAAAATTAGGAAGCTGGCAAGTGGACTTGACAAAAATAAAGTCTTTGGGTCTCTAGACACAAGAGTCAGAGAATGTGAGAGGAGCTCTGTAATGTTTCCCACATAATTTTTAATAAATGCAAGCAGAAACACACTCACAGTGGTGAGGAAAGGGAAACAGAGGTGTGTGTGTGTGTGTGTGTGTGTGTGTGTGTGTGTGTGTGTGTGTGTGTGTGTGTGTGTGTGTGTGCACAGGCCCAGTCTGCATGTGCATGCTGTCTGAAGTACATTTTTACATACGTGTGACTTGTGCACACAAAATGAATATGCAATGCGTGTGTCAAAGTGTCCTGCTGGGACCCGTATCCATATTTTGAAAAACAAGCCTCCAACTTATCATCTCCGACGTATTTCACAAACACTACTGCTGAAATTTGCTGTGGGAAGTTTTTGTCTCCGCCTTCTGACAATGGGAATAATTACACAATCACTTTTTGATGAGTTGCTAAATAACACACTTCCATTTGTCCACACTGATGTAGAGTACGTGTAATATCCATGTCTACGAGCAAAAAAGCATCATGCATGTGTGTGTTTAGCCCGTCCTCACACTAAAGCTGTTTGCCCATTCATGAGGATGACATTAACTCCAAGTTGCTGGAGCATCAAAACATTTCGACTGGCTCTTTCAGAAACTCAGCGGCTGTGGCTTACTCTCCTTCCATGGGGCTACTCTTCTTCCTGTCACCACATATAACACAAACTTTGCACACTGTCGACAGACTCTGTCTCACTGTGTGAGAATGTTTGGCAAAGGCCAGAATGCGATGGCCAATGTTCTGCACTGTAGCTCTAAATAAAGAGATTTGTGGTAAAGTTTGTGAGATTCAGTTTGAACATGAATGTGAGATTAAGCTTAAATGAGCTCAATATTTCTAGTCAGTCAGAAGTAAAAATTTACTTGACAAATTTAATTTTTGATTTAATGTCTCTTGGTTTCTTGTCTTATTAATTTCGTCATGTGATCTTTTTCCTCTTTTTGTTTGGTTTCCTGTTCGTGTTTTACAGCACAGAAAAACCTTTTTAACATCTTTTTGCAGGTTGGCGTACAGGACGGCCGCGCTGCGTTACAAAAGAGGCCCTCTGTGCTGCTGTTTTTGATTCTCCAAGTGGAAAGAGGGGGGTAAAGTATCAGTCATGTTTATAAAGAACTGTGATTCAGAAAGTAATTTTATTATCAGTCATGAGGAGAGCCAGAGACACAAAGGGCTCCAGATGACAGCATGCGACACATCCTGCTGAAGTCAGAGACCCCAAACCACCAAGTCTATTAGCAATCCAGCTTTCCTTAGATGCCTTGAAATAATTAGTCACAAAGTTGCCGTCGCCGCCAAATCTTGCAGATCAGGGTGCTGTGATAAATCCCACTGGAAGAAAACTTGATGTGGGATTGTTTCCCTGAGCTTCTAAATTTGTGTATCGCAACTTAATTGCGTCTGAACGCTGAACTTGTGTAGTGTTTTACTACTTTGGTTACTCCGTGCTGGCAGAATGCTTGCTTCACTGCACTGGTGGGGAAAACCTTTTTATTTGTGGTTTCTAATTCTTTACTCTAGCCTGCTCATAAAGCACTGAGATGAGCGATATCATGTGGTGTTCATCAACCAGGGAGCTTTTTCTTAAACTTTATAGTCGTTTAAACAGAACGATTAAAGTCCATGACACACAGGCAAGGTTTGGACAGCAACGGGAGCCAGCAAGTTTAACAACGCCTCAGTTCTTCATGCTTTCATGCATAAGGACCTTCAGATTTACCAAACTTTGCAAACCAACATCCAGCTTACATCTTGGACTGTTTTCACGTGGATGCTTGAGATGGTCCGTGAAAAAAACTCCTTCCTCGGTTCTGAGAAAACTGTCCGCCCTGATGACGTCAGCAGGAGTGGTTGTGACTTTACTGGTTTCTGAGTTTGAAGAACTGACCTCGAGATTCTACCCGTTCTAAACAGTGACACCGACTATCACCATCACCTGACCCTAAAACCTATCAGGTAACTGTTACACCAGCTGTTCCACACATCAGGGGAACAGCTGGGTGGTTTTTCCACGGGCTTTTAAGAAATCCGACTTCCTTTTGCAACCAGAAGAGGTGCCCCCTGTTGGTCAACAGAAAAATGCAGATTTAAGGCGCTTTGCTTCAATCTTTTCGATCTGAAAGCCACCTCCATCCTGTATATGGAGCAAAGTGCATTCAGTTTATAGCTAGAAACAATTATGCTGCTGGTTGCATTAAAGGAAGTGCAGTAGGCTTTGTGGGGCTTTACCCACAGCGCTTATACATGGAAATATATCTCAGGTACTATTGCCTTAATGTTGGACTGTTTTCTCAATATGTCTGCGTAATTTCACGGACGTGGACTCAGTGGAGCAGCCCTTCAACCACGAGTCTGAAATGAGTCATGGACTGATTTTTTGAAATAGTGGGTCAGTGGTAAGTTACGGGACTGATTATAAATCTCCTTATAAATAATGTTTTTTTTTAAATAAATAAAAATAAAAATAATTCATGAGGTTTGGATATTCCCTTAGAGCTCATAAACACCTTCAGCTTTAACATTCTTTTTTCCTCTTTGTCCACTTCTTAATCAAATTCATCATCGTCTTTCACAATCATCTAAGCAATCCACTAAATCAAACGCAAAAGAAAGTTTCGGTTTTGCGCGACTTTCCTCTTCATCCCCCATCCTCATCCTCAGCACCGCTCCTCAGAGGGCGCGGGCTAAGTGTTTCGCTTTTCTTATCTAGAAGGATCTCTATCCTGTTTTAACGAGGCACTTGACCTCCCTCGGCGCTCTCCTACTCCCTGAGTGACGCAAAAAAAGTGGGCTGGCGAAGCGCTAAGTGCAGCAGTTTAGAGGACTATCTGTGCGCTACTCCAGCAGACTTCACTTGGAGCGCCTATATAGGTTCAGTCGTCTGTCTCGGATGTTACACCAGAGCCTTGTCGGCGGAGATACCGGCATGAGAACGGATGCGTTTGAGAGGCTAAACACGGACTTTTCCTCAGATTTGTAACAACCCCCCGCTTCATTCATTAAGTTGGGAGGTTGATGAAACTTTTCTTGAATGAGTCTCCCGCCGCTGGCTGGCGCATCTGGATTCAAGTTAGTCGGAGCTGTCAAGTCCAGAGTTCAATTCTTCAGCCGGAGCCTTTTACCCCGTTTTTAAACTTTGTGGCGAAATACTGGAATTAGTTTAAACCAAACTCTTAATTTTGACAACTTTTTGTGAACATTTTTTATTGCAAGACACAAACATGGAAAACTCGGTCCTGAGAATGACATGCGTCCTGGTGGCTATCTGTCTCTTGGATAAAAGGTGAGTGAAATTAATACGGAACGCAGTAATTCTACTAAAACTTTAAGTCAAGCTGCTGTTTTAACGCAATTAAAGAACATCTTTCATCGAGCCTCCTTATTTGAACTTAAAAATCTGTTAACAGGATGTTGTGAGATGTCAGATTTATTTATCGACGTAAAATTTGTATTTCATTCATTCAGCTAAATGTTTCACTGACAGGTTGTCTGCGCCTAAAATATAAATACAATGAAGTGTAAACAGTTGTGTGCTTTCTTTTTTATTTCTATTTATTCTTTATTATCTTGAACACTTTTGCCCACATGCTGGTTCCAGCTGTAAAATTTGGAAAGGCAGCTTTTGAACTTGTGCTGCTCTTTACTCTCAGAGCCGGAAACACAACAGGTACCAACAGAAGTCAAACTGGAATTGCAAAGCCACAAAAAGCAATCCCACACTGAAAGTGTAACATGCAAATGAATAACATGCAGTGGCAAGTTGTTTTATTGATTGATTGATTGTTTTTTTTAATCGCTCCAAAGCTACTTTGCTTAGATAAGCGGCACACTGTGTGTGTGTGTGTGTGTGTGTGTGTGTGTGTGTGTGTGTGTGTGTGTGTGTGTGTGTGTGTGTGTGTGTGTGTGTTCCAACACTGACGACTTTTTCTTCTCTTTGCTTCGTGGAGAAGTTTTGCAGAAGACACTCTCGCAGGTCCCACGTGTTTACGAGACTATAAGCAGAGTGTGTGTGTAAATGCTGTCTCTTCCCCACACCTGTATTTGCGTGTGCATCTGGGAGTGCGCGTGGCTGTTTGTTGGCTGGCTGCATGTGCGGCACACACAAACCTGTGTTTTGCCTGTAAAGATCATGAAAAGAAAAGCAGGACAGCTTTCAGTCATCAGGAGCGCATCGTGTGTTTTTCTTATTGCTGCTGTTACTGTTCGTCTGTGGAGCACAAACGCGCTTTAGAGGCTGTCAGCTGGATTATTGCTGTTCACACGATTAACCTGAAACAGAAGCTGAGACAGTTGAGTGCAGAGACACACCTTACTGCTAATAACAATTTATGTGCTAAAGTATTTCCTCTGGTTATTTTATGTGGCAGGTACGTAGGTTTTTATTTTTGCCTTAATTCATTGTGCTGCAATAAAAACATCCTGAGTTAAGTATGCACATTTTTAAAGACTTTAAAGGCTTAATCTTTTTTTTAAAAATATTACTTTTATTTAAACCAATGGCAAAACAGATGCACAATCATAAAGTGAATCAATCTGAAAAGTAGAACATACTAACAGATTAAAGAGTACAGTTCCCCTCGGAAACCACCAGCATCTGGAGATGTTTTTATCAGCGCTACCACATAGCACACACATTTGTGTATTTTGGGGGTTTTACAGGAATCGGTTAAACCAGGGACCAACAAGTCATGGCAGGGTGCAATGGAAAGTGGGTGTCGAGGTGACACCAGAGGAACATTAAAAGAAAACTTACGAGTCTCGCTATAACGAACCTTCGGAGACTAACATCAGTACACAGAAAAGACAGAAGATTTGACTTGTACATCTATCTTGTCAGTAACCTGATCTATACTTGCTCCGTGCAGGGTAGACTCCAATGAAATCTTGGGCCTGAAGCTCCCCAACATCGACCCAATCCTGAATGCCAACACGGTGTGTCTGACACTGCCAGGTTTGACAAGGCGCCAGCTGGAGGTGTGCATGCGTAACCCAGACGTGACGGCTTCAGCAATCCAGGGAATCCAGATTGCCATCCATGAGTGCCAGCACCAGTTCAGAGGGCACCGCTGGAACTGCTCCAGCCTGGAGACTAGAAACAAAATACCCTACGACAGCATAGTCTTCAAAAGAGGTCAGTTTTAACCCAATTTTTCTACTTAAAAAAATAAACTTTTAAAAGTCCCAATATATGAATTACACAAAATTTACCACACAGTATTGTCTAAAGCGGGTGAATGAGTTTAAAAGCTTCTTTTAGTGAACTATGAAGGTGAAATGTCACCACAGGTTACCAGGTATAAGTTTGCTCTTGAGTCAGACTGTGGTTTCCTCCTCAACTGCACTTCAATGAAGTACCTTGAAAGGATGGGTTTAGAAAGATTAGCTGCCACAGAGATACAAAAGCTTCCAAACAAAAGTTAATATATTTCCTCAAACAAGATTATAAAAAGAGATTATTTTCCACGTAGTTATAATTCATCAATGTTAACTCGGAAACAAGTCCTCCAAATGAACAGGTTATCTCTAGTTATCTCTTGTTCCTAGCAGACTGGTATCTGCTTTCTAACCACCTCGCTGAAGCTTCTCAATAACCCATTCAAAAGAGCAGGCAACTTCAAAAGCAGTTAGTCACCTTCAGATTACCAAGCCTCATGCATATCATTTTTCCTTGACGCTTTGTAGGGCTTGGAGCTTTGCAAGTCAGCCACAAAGGATGAAAGAGGAGCTTTAGAGTTGGGAAGCCTTCAGATGGTGTCATCGCAGGTTATTGACTGGAAAAGGCATCAATTTCTTAGTAGCCTGAGCACCTGGATAGATGCAACACACAGTGCGGTTGGTAGTTTGAGTCTTGAGTTTAGCTGGCTTTCGATTTTACTTTCATCTCAGGAGTTGCAGAAAATTGGTTGAGATGCTCACGTGTATTGCTTTGGCTTAGCTTTGTGAGTTTTTAGTGAAAGTCTTTCAAGACAAGCGTGAAAAACTGGCTTTTTTAAGATTTCCCAAAGAGCATTTCTCTGAGACACTAATGATGACCTTACCTATCATAAAAAAATTCCTACCATCTCTGCAAGAAAAACCCTGGTTTGTAACCCTCACTGAGGACTATATCCTATCACTGCCATGAAATAACACAACATATATAATAATTTTAGCTACAGTAAATACTTTCTCACCTCTGGTCTTGCTTTCACTCCTAACTGACTCATTGAAAAGCTGTTTGTCATTATTAGCAGAGGCAGTTGCTCGTTGTCTGGCATCCCTGGTTTGCCTCGGGTGCAGAAACTCCAAACCACTGACATAAACAAGCTCTTTAAATCGTGTGATTCATCTGTTACATGTTGATACGATCCTCTCCACGCAAGCTAAAAAATGGATACAAGTTGACACGCTGCAGCCATCATTGCGTGCAGTTACTGTAAGCATGAATGCTTTGAATAAGGGACGTTTTCAGAGGTGGATTATACAGAAGGTGAGTGCATGTATTCAGTGCAGCTCCTCCTGAAAAAACTCAAATACGCTCTCACACGAGGCTCGTGTGTACCAAACTGGTATTTTCTTCCCACATCATGTAGTGCAGCAACAAGTTTATCTGTGGTGTTAAAAGCTCAGAATTGAAGAAAGTACTTCCAACTGGAAAACTCGCTTACTCGGCTACGCTTGCAGGGCTTTCTCAAATCCTACATGTGACGTTCTAAACAGGTTTTTGAATAGATTATCAGGTGCTCCACATTTTAATATTTATTCTGGTGTCACTGCATCGGATGGTGCTCGAATCCTGTCTGCTGATGGTTTCTCGATAACTTTTACGGGTCTATGTTCATTCCCATTTAGCCCGCATTAAAAACTAGGCTAAAGGGAGGGCCCAGCAGGACGGAGACAGACAGAAATAGGAGAATTGTTCCTTCTCTTTCTGCATTTCTTTTGCCATCTCATTCTCTGTCGCCATGTCTCTGTGTTCCCTGGCTGGGCTACTCCTAATGCTTTTTCTTCCCTTGCCAGTGCAAGTGCTTGTGAATTTGCTCTCAGCACTTTCCCAACTCTCCGAGGCAAAAGCACAAACCTGTTTAGTCGGTTTCTGTAACACAAAGTGACAGTTTCCTTTGAATCTTTAATTCATTTTGCCACTTCCTCTGCCATCAGTTCAGCCGGGCGTGCCACAGCCGGTGAATTATTTGTTAGATTGATTTGTTCCCGGTCTTCCGGGTGCTCGCGTTGCAGTGCCCAGCTCGGAGCAGGTCAAGAGCTAAAACGGGCTTTCTAAGTATGAGGATGTGCTTAAGTGCCATGCTGCGCTCCTCTCCTGCTCAGTGTGGGTCAAGGTGGTTGGGTGGGGGTGGAGGAAGGTTGGGGGCTCTGATTGTGAGTCAGTGAGTCAAATTATTTATAGACGGTACAATTTTGGAGTGTGTGCATTTATTTCTGGGGTGTATTCAAAAGTATAATTGCTCCTATTTACATGTTAAATATTAAGGAAGCTATTATGTATTACTGTATGATATCAGTAGATTGCATGCATTTCCTCTTAAGAGTCAAAGCAGAGTGAAAACAGAGATTAAAGGCTATCGGCCACGTGAAAAATGAGGATTGCCCAATATCAGCAGTTTGCTCACAAGGTGTTTATAGCTTGTTTTTACTGCCTCCAGTTGGCAGCTTGTAAGGATGATGACTATCAGCTTCTCAGCCAGCCTCAGCTCACTGAGCTATTGAGGAGGATGTTACCACCGGTGGAGGCGTTATTTCAGTTAGAAGAGCCATGTGAACATCTACTGTAGTTGGAAGCACAGTCATCATTCAGAATATGACAATATCCTGAAAACGTCCTTTTAAGTTTTAGAAACATTGTTACTGGACTCCCTCTGACTATCATGAGAACAGCATTTATTGTGCAAAGGCAAATATTTCTATGCATACAGCAACAAAAGTGTAAACTCTTACACCATATCTCACTAAAGCAAATTAGTCAGGGTTTTATTTTCAAATTTATTAATAGGGAAGTAACTTCAAACCCTGCTTAAAGGGGCAGATCCAGTTAAAAGCTTTTTTTATTTGACTCCAACAAGCAGCCTGAATCATTTCCCCTTCGAGCTCAGTGCTATAAACCCCTAAGTGGTTTCTTTTCATGTTTTCTTTACAAGTTTCCATTATAACCGTAGCCGGTGGGGCTGCTTTTATACAACCTGAGGGTACCTTGACAGGCAGTAAGCTGAGATCTAACAATAAACACTATAGAGGGCAGGAGTGCAAATGATTCTGTCACACTTTATCCTTCGGTATTCACGGATTCCACAATTAGATATGGATTTCTTTCTCTTTTTTTTAGCGTACGTCCAGTGCACGTGTGTGTGTAAGTGTAAGGAGAGGCTGCTATAACAGCAGTCTTATGATTTACAGGTCAGTCGTCGTCAGATACACTCTTACATGTGCTGCATGCGAGTTACGTCATGAAGAAAAAAAGGGATGCATTTAACTCTAATGTCATACGTGGATATTACACGCACACAGTCATTCATCTGCCTCCTTTACATGGATTAGTTCCTTTTGAGTCAATTTAAAATGATTACAAGGTGAAAGCTGCGGTACGGCATAATGAGCCTCTCTAAGTTAAACACATGTACAGCTCATTTGGTGGTGAGTTGTCATCCAAATAGAGGAAACGACAAAAGCAAAGATCAAAGTACAGCCAGCAATCAGCCCAAAGTCAAAGACTAGTAACAGCCGGGTTAACAGTTAATAAGTCAATTTTACTTATATTGCACATTTTAAAAAGAACCCGGTTACAAAGCATAATAAACACAATAACTGAAAAAGTCGTCTAACCATGGTTAAGAACAATGGCTAAAAATAATCCAATAAGGGAGCAGTATGAAGCACTGACAGGGAGCTTGACCAAACCATGAGGGACCTCAGAGTTGACTAAAAGCAAATGAAAATATGTCTTTGGAAAAATGATCAGTTGCTGAACAGGTTCTTATGTGGAAGGCAGATTATTCCAGAGCCCAGGGACAGTAACCGTAAAGGCCCAGTCGCCTCGAGTTTGTAGGTGAGAGAAGTTGTTGGAATGACCTCATGGACCTGGAGGTAAAAGATCTGTAATCTTCTGTGGAGCTAATCCATGGAGTCAAGCTATCCTTAACAAGAGCAAGATTTTAGCTACAGCTGGGTGAAAGATCCACGGATGGAGTACGTGTGTGTGTGTGTGTGGTCGTGGAGGTTGTCACAGGAAGGAGTCACAGCTCTATTTAGTCACAGTGTGCGAGTACCCCGTGGGTCCTCTGATGGGAGTGGTGGAGCCTGCGAAGTTTGGAACACTGAATTGTTATTGTCCCAGATGTTTCCTCTGCTCTGAGTCTCGGCCTGTGTGTGTGTGCATGTGAGAAAGAAAAAGTTCTGCGTGTTATTTATGATGCATAAAATAAAGAAAGCAAAATGTAAATGTGCTCTCACTCTCGAAATGAGGAAACTTTGAGCATGTAAATGTCGTGTAACACTGTAACTGAAATACAACTGTGGGGTATTTATAAAAATCAAAAATGTACAACAAGTAAAGCTTTGAATTGGTATCTTAGTCATATAAATGATCAGTCACTGCACATTTCACTTCTCTATCGCTCTTTTAGCCAGCAGTTTTCTCATTTCACTTTGGTTCCACATATATGATGATGTATTCTGCTTAAGAGTTATTAGAAATTCTCAAAGTTTGTCAACTCTGTCTCAAAGTGAAACACTTGCCTCTATAGCCACTGACACGGTCCTCCGGTTAATCTTTGTAAGAACTGATGATTCTTATGTTACTTCACACACAGCAGTAAAACACTGAGCACCATTTGAGAGCATACAGTCCATCTGGCATTTTAAATGAAAACATCTTTCCACTTCCAAAGTGTTTCCTGGTTCTGACACTTCTTATTACCTTTTACTTTCACATTAGCTTAAAACAACATGACTATGCTGCCCCTCTACCTGCAGGTTTTCGAGAGAGTGCCTTTGCGTATGCCATTGCAGCAGCGGGAGTGGTGCACGCGGTGGCCAACGCCTGCTCCATGGGCAAACTGAAAGCATGTGGCTGTGACGAGAAGCGACGAGGGGACGAGGAGGCTTTCCGTATCAAACTCCACCGCTTGCAAGTTGAGGCCATCCAGCGAGGGAAGGGTATGGTGCACGGTGTTATGGAGCACTTCCCGGCTGACCTGCCAGGGCCCCAAGACTCATGGGAGTGGGGCGGCTGCAGCCCTGACGTGGAATTCGGAGAGAAGTTCTCACGGGATTTCCTGGATGCCCGTGAGACCTACAAAGACATCCACGCTCGTATGAGGCTGCATAATAATAAAGTTGGGAGACAGGTGAGTGAAAAGTGTGTGTTTGTGGGTCTTTTTTCCCCATGTTTGCATAACTGCTGCTATTTTGTTGTACTACATTAAAATATTTTAACATCAGACACACAATTTACGACAGAACAAATGAAAAAAAAAAAAAGCTCAAAGGGCCGATTGTAGATACTACACATCCGCTTCTGTCCTGTATCAGTTTATCAAAAATTACGTGTTTTCAGCTGTTATGAACGTTTTAGAGGGTCAGGGGTTGTGTTTCAGAAGTGTTTCATACTGCTACTA